CGCCATTCACACCTGCCTCGTCGTTCCCGCGGAGAGCGTTACTAAATAGCATTTTTTTTTTTTTTTATTATCATTTTGTTAAGTCATTTTCGTTCTCTTTTTTTATTGGTGCTGTTTGCTTATTTTTGTTCTTTATTTTTTATTATTACTTCTATATTTTTTTTTTTTATTTTTTTTTTTGCTTTTGTTTATCTATATTCTTTGTTTTGTTTTTTATTTTAATTTGATCATTCGTTTTTGTTCTTTTTCTTTTTTCTTTGTTTTATTTATTTGTTTTCGTCCTCCATTTGTTTTTGTTTTTGTTTTGCTTAATATAAATATCTTTTCTCTTCGCTCTCAGTTCTTCATTTTCCTTATTTTTCTATTCCTTTTCCCAAACCGATTAAAGTCTATTTGATATATATCTTTCTGTTTTTTTTGTTTTGTTTTTGTTTTTTCTTTGAATGAAACTCAACGCAATGAAGACCGAAGACGCATTTCTCTTTCTTAGTTCACTGCCCAGCCCGAAAGGCCCAATTCAAATTCCTTTTCAGACATAACGATAAACGATCGAAAGTAATCTTAAGGCGCTTCCTCTATCGCGCGCGAATGAAACAGCATCTGATGAATAAATGAAGCAATTAATATATAGAGCTAATCAAAGAAATTTTGATATTTCGATTATGAAAATTTACCTGTTGTTTCCCTTCTCTCTCTCTCTCTGTTCCTCTCTCTCAATCTCTCTCTCTCTCTCTCTCTCTCTCTCTCTCTCTCTCTCTCTCTCTCTCTCTCTCTCTCTCTCTCTCTCTCTCTCTCTCTCTCTCTCTCTCTCTCTTTCTCTCTTCTCTCTCTCTCTCTCTCTCTCTCTCTCTCTCTCTCTCTCTCATCTCCTCTCTCTCTCATATATATATATATATATATAATATATATATATATATATATATATATATCTGTGTTTCTCTCAATCTCTCTCTCTCTCTCTCTCTGCTTTCTCTCTCTCTTTCTCTCCAATCAGTCCCTTATCACCCTTTCCTCTCCCACCCCCTCCCCAGCCCCTCACCCCTTCCCCATCCTCACCCCGTCCCTCTTCTTTCCCATCCCCCCCTTCTCCAACCTCTCCTCCCTTCCTCCTCCCCCTCTCTTAACCCCACCATTCTTCACTCCGTCCTTCCCCTCCCTAAACCTCACCCTACCCTTCCCCAGCCCACCCTCCCCCTCTTAACCACCCCCTTCCCCCCCCCCCAATCCTCTTTCCCACCTTCCCCTCACCTCACCCCCCCCCATCCCTCCATCCCTTCCTCTCTACCTGCCACCCTCACCCTCCTACCCCCGCCCCCTCCCAACCCCCCCCCCCTTCCCACCCCGCCCCCCTCCCGTGGCCTGGCCTAAATAGCCTACGATGACTAACTGTAAAGTATTTTTGCCCGAGCCTGACTCCCCTGAGACCCTGGAAGGCAGACGCCGCCTCTTCATTAGCTTGGTCACAGCCATGAAGAGTGGGCCAGGCAGGTGGCGTCCTCTCTCTCTGCCTCTTGGTATCATTTTTATCGCTGTCACTCTGTCTGTTTTTGTTGCGCCTCTCTAGCTCTCTCTCTCTTTCCCTCTCTCTCTCTCTCTCTCTATCTATCTATCTATCTCTCCCTCCTCTCTTCTATCTATCTATCTATCTATCTATCTCCTCTCTCTCTCTCTATCTATCTCTCTCTATCTCTCTCTCTCTCTCTCTCTCTCTCTCTCTCTCTATCTCTCTCTCTATCTATCTCTCTCTCTCTCTCTCTCTCTCTCTGTCTCTCACTCATTCTCTCTCTCTCCCCTTCTCGCATGACTTTCTTTTTGTTTTGTTTTGATTATCTTGTTTCGTCTGCTACCTTGTGGTCGCGGAAAATGGTCCAGTGAGTTTAGTTCTTCTCTCATTTTCTTTCTTTATCTTCTTTCTCCATATGGCTCTCGTTTCGTCTGTCTTATCATGGTTTTGTTTGTGTTGCTTATTATAAATTCTTGGCCAGCTAGTTCTTCACTTGTTTTCCATCTCTCTCTCTCTCTCTCTCTCTCTCTCTCTCTCTCTCTCTCTCTCTCTCTCTCTCTCTCTCTCTCTCTCTCTCTCTCTCTCTCTCTCTCTCTCTCTGTCTCTCTTTCTTGTAATTGATTTATTTATTCTTGGCCAAGTACATCTTCCTTATCTGTCTTCTTTGTCCGTTTGTTTATTCATTTGCCTCTGTCTCTGGTTCACCAAATAGCATTCTATCCCGCCTCTTTGCCTTGGTCTCCTTTATTGAATTCTGTAAATTCGCCTCTTCTTCCATCTTGCCTTCTCTCTCTTTCCAACCCTTCCTTTTTCCACTCTATCCCTTCCTCATTTCTTTGTTGTTTGTGTGTATTTCCACATTTTTCATTTGGTACCTATAAAGTCATGTGCATCTACATAATTGATTTGGATTTTATGACTATGATCTTATGCAGGAAAATTTCCCATTTTCCTACTCATCAGTTTCTTATCAATAATCAATGATTTTGAACACAATTATTAACATATTCGTCATAATCATTTTCTCTTCACGTTCAGTGCTAGTTGTTCTTTTTTCTTTTTCTTTTTAATCAATTGGCCCAAACTCATTATTCAGTCAAAACCATCAAACTCTTTTTGTCTTATTATTTCTTCCTTCCCATCTTTTCTTCTTCATGTGTCAGGATCTCGAACTACTTCATGTTGCATTTTGAACTGCAGTTTATATTTGTTTTCATTTATATGTTGGAGAGATTTTTCATTGCTATAACAACCCTATCTCTCAGGAAGGATCCAACATCTGTCGCTTCAACATTTACGCTCTGGCTGCCTCGTTTAAGCATCTGTCCATCTTAGAAGTGCAGAGGGAGAGAAAGAGAAAAAGGCAGAGGAGAGGAGGGAGGCAGAGAGAGAGAGAGAGAGAGAGAGAGAGAGAGAGAGAGAGAGAAGAGAGAAGAGAGAGAGAGAGAGAGAGGAGAAGAGAGAGAGAGAGAGAGGAAAACAAACAGACAGACAGGGAGATAGAGAGAGATCTGAGAAAAAGAGGTAGAGAGAGTAACACCGCGTGAATGTCTATAACCTTCCGTCTCTACCGAACGGCACTCCATAAACTCTGAAAGTGAAACCAATTTTTCACGATTATAGTTTCCTTCCAATTCAACGAAACTTCTACATCGATAATCCGCCATTTCCTCCCTATTCGTCGCTATATCAGTCAGAATAACGGTCTTTGTCCACCCGCTGCAGTCAGACCAGCCTCCGAGAAGCGTCAGTGCAATAAAGAGCGTTGCTTACATGCAATTTTGCAATATTTATGCGGTGAAGTGACTCGAAAAAATATCTGTTCTTCCGTGTTCTTGCCTGTTCTTTGTTCATGAGTTTATTGTAGATCGCCATAGTTGATAATACCAGTACTGCATATTAAGTAAACCCATATTGTGTATATCTTATATACATACATACATAAATACACACACACACACACACACACACACACACACACACAACAACACACAACACCAACACACCACACACACACACACACACACACAACACACACACACACACACATATTATATATATATTATATATATATATATATATATATATATATATATATATTATATATATATATATATATATATGCCGTTACAGATTTGCCACTTAAGCGTCGAACAGTCAAAATGAAGAGGTAGACTAACACCGCCATGAATAGTTTCATGTTTATTAATCAAACGCTTCGAAGATCAATCAAATCTTCACCATCAGTGCTGTAATAATGAACCAGAAAAAATGCAATTAGACAAATTCATTAATTGATTTGGTTCTTTACAATTAAACTAGTGACATAATACAAAAAACGTAAATCAAACATATAATGCATATTTTGACCGTATTTACTTTGTAAACTTCAAGAAAATTACTTACATAAATGTTATGGTTTGATAATAAATAATGAGGACCCTATGTAAATATTGAATGTGCCATTTTATTTACTATCTCTCTCTCTCTCCTCTCTCCTCTCTCTCTATCTATCTCTATCTCTCTCTCTCTCTCTCTCTCTCTCTCTCTCTCTCTCTCTCTCTCTCTCTCTCTCTCTCTCTCTCTCTCTCTCTCTCTCTCTCTCTCTCTCTCTCTCTCTCTCTCTCTCTCTCTCTCTCTCTCTCTATCTATCTATCTATCACTCTCTCTCTCTCTCTCTCTCTCTCTCTCTCTCTCTCTCTCTCTCTCTCTCTCTCTCTCTCTCTCTCTCTCTCTCTCCTCTCTCTCTCTCTCTCTCCCTCTCTCTCTCTCTCTCTCTTTCTCTCTCTCCCTCCTCCCCTCTCTCTCTCTCTCTCTCTCTCTCTCTCTCTCTCTCTCTCTCTCTCTCTCTCTCTCTCTCTCTCTCTCTCTCTCTCCTCTCTCTCTCTCCTCTCTCTCTCTCCTTTCTCTCTCTCCCTCCCCCTCTCTCTCTCTCTCCCTTTCTCTCTCTCTCTCTCTCTTCCCTCTCTCTCTCTCTCTCTTTCTCTCTCTCCCTCTCCCCCTCTCTCTCTCTCTCCCATTCCTTTCCTCCCTCCCTTTTAATTTTCCGATGATTCCCCCAAATAAGAAAGATAAAAAAAAACTCGGCCAGGGGGCTGAAGCTGCGATCTGTTTCCGATAGCTATCTCATCGAGGGCGACGAACCGCTTCCCCGGCTGCGAGGATCAGCACGAAAATGGTTAGAGAGATTGTGCTAGTAATGATAGTAATTCTGATAATGATAAGAAAGATGATAATGATAACATTACCATTGACACTAGTTTTGGAATATTGACAATGATTCATGATAATAATGATGATAGGAATGATAATGGATATAGCAGTTATGATATTAATAATGTTGATGATAATAACATTGATAACAATAATAATTATAATAGTAATGATAATGATGATAAAGAAGAACAATGATAATGATACTGATAATGATAATGATAATAATGATGATAATGATAATGATAATAATGTACTGATAATGTTAGTATTGATAATAGCA